AAAAATTTAATCTATGAGTTGAAAAGGTTATATCTCCAAAAAAATTGGTCCTAAAATTGATTAAATGGGATTTTAATCGAGGGAGTCAATGTACATTTTGTTCCCATGGGAGTAGAATATCTTTTGACTTTATTAAATGAATTCGGCAGCAATAAGAGTATTTCCGAACTTTAATTCAATGCCCCAGGTTAGTTTGGAGATCGAATATTACATTTCTGTGCTTGTTACTTTGTATAAGCTTTTGATTCAAATCTTCCGCTAGTTTGGCCCTCTTCTACAGGTTATAGTCTACGATAACCGGTTCGACTTTGATCACGTCAACAGAAAAACAAAGTTGGAGTTACTCTTTCTTAGGAAGTGAAATGTTATCTTTTAACCTTATGAAAATCTTAAAGAAATTTTGGGTATGGCAAATATATATTAACAATATATATATATATATATGGAAAAGATTTATATAGATGTGAGGCTTTAAACAATCAAATTAAAGTGCATCTCAAAACTTTCATTAGAAGAGATTATTTTGATGCTTAAAAATCCACAAATTGATCATCTCGACCTCAAGATGCATGTACGTGAGAAAAAAAAAAATTGGATTTGTTTTTGGAAATAGTGTCTCTTGTAATACTTTTTTGGAGCATCAATTTTCAAGATTTTAAAGTTTTTATAGATTTACTCAATCTGCACGATTTTTTAAGCTTTGAATTTTATAATTAGAGATGAAAATTTTTTTAAGGCAGTTATAAAGATTTTCAGTATTGAAACCATATTTCGCAATACTATTTGAAGACGTGTTGTACTTTGATTGTTTAGGCCCTATACAAACCAAATGTGTGTTAATAATATAAATATAAATACATAATATAATATATGATATTTATATATTATATATAATATATGTTATTAATATATATTTGTATTATATTAGACATATATTATCTAATGGTATATAATATAGTATAATGTAGGGAAATTATCGAGAAACAAGAGATAAATATTAAAAAGAATTAGAGAGAAAAAGAATAGATAAACATAAAAAGAATTAGAGATGAAAGATATAAACATAATGAGAAAAGAGTTGACGGTATTTTAAGTGTTGTATAACATGGGTTAGTGTTTAGTGTATTTAAAATGTCGTATAAGGGTTAGTGTAAGTTTACGGTACTTAAAGTGCTGTATAAAATGCCCTCATTATTACGGCACTAAAAGTACCGGATAAAATTCTTAAGTATTACGGTACTTAAAGTACCGTATAACATGCACTAACTATTACGGTAATACGCCTATCGTGAAGGTCATTTTGGTAAAAAAAAAAAAACTAAAAATGAGAAAAAATGGTGCAGATGAGATAAACAAAAGTTTGAGTTTTTTTTTTCAATTAAGCTTAAATTAAGGTATATTTGCAATAATTTCCTTATGAAATAAAATAATGTAGGATATTATTTATATATTAAATATATTACTTAATATATAAATAATTTATTATATAATATATATTACTTTGTAAATAGTTAATAGTGAATAACAATCACAACAAGTAGTGATCAACAAAAACATTTGGACAGTTTGGGTTCCTAACCTACCAAGAAGTTAAACTTTGTCATTTTAAAAGGAAAAATAAAAGTTTGGGGAAAGTTTGGGATCCTATTACTATCGCAGTTCACGTGCAACCAAACCTTGAACAGCTATAAAAGGTTATATTTTTGAAAGTTTTCTTTCTTGCAGGCAAACATGCCTTAAAGGATGAGGTTTCTATAAGGCCTAGGCTTTATAAAAACAAAATAAAACCTCACTTCAAATACTCGTTCGCAAAGTACTTTTCGAGACAAAAATCTTTATGATGGGTCTAATATTAATTTTCAACACTGACAATAAAATTTGAAACTCTAAAAAATGATATAGATGTTGGAGATTTTGTGAACACTTATTTTTAAAGTAGAATAGACGGTTAAGATAATTTATAATATACATTATTTTCAGAGTTTAAAATCCTAATTTTTATTCACAACATAATGTTCAGTCGAGATGATCGATATAACGGTTTCTAATACTTGACTTGCAATTTTTGATGAGTTATGAAGTGAGGATTTACTTATTTCGATAGGGTTGCAGCCGTATCAAACCATTTTCGTTATATAAAATATAATATAATGAATATATAAACAAATATCATTATCATCATCATAGCCTTTTCCCAATTAATTGGGATAGACAACACAAATCATGGTCTGTTATTCTGCACTATTAAGGGTTATACCGTCAATGAGGTCATAGGTCCTCATATCTTTTCGGACTACTTCCAACCAGGCTTATCCGCCCTTTTCAAGCTTTCTACTTGACATGAATATTGTACTGTATAAATTAATATATAGTATAATATTATATTATAATAATATTATATATTATATTCTACTAATATATCTAAGGGTGGATTTGCAACCTTAAACAATCCAATTAAGGCACACCTCTAAATTTAATCATAAATGTAATTCTGAAGTAAAAAATCATTAGGATAGATTAAGAATCTATTTTCATCACTAATTATAAAAATTTAAACTCTAAAAATTGTTCAAATCAAGTATATCTATAAACATATGAAAATCTTGAAATTGTACAGCCTAGATAATGTGTTGCAAGATACATTATTTTGCAAACTGAAAATCTTTTTCCTTTTCATAGTCCCATATCTCGATATGGAGATGATCAATTAGCGGGTTTTCCAACATCCAAACAACTTTTTATGATGGATTATTAAGGTGGATATTTAATTTTACATTTTAAGGTTGCAACCTTATATAAACTTTTTCCTTTATCTAGTATTATATAATATAATATAATAATATATTTGTCTTATATAAAACATTATTTATATATTACTTATTAAACAATATTAAAATAAAATTTATTGTTAAATATATTACTTATTATATAAGTATATTATTATAAAATATATATTGTATTGTAAATAATTAATAGTGAATATCAAATAGTGGTCCGCATGTGAAAATAGAAGCACGGATAATGTTTCCCCACCTCAAGGTGTGTGGGGTTTTGTTTTTTCATGAATTAAACGATTTCATAGTAAATAATTTTACCATGGGATTTATTTTTATATGCATGACTTATCAAAAACCGTATGAAACACAATTTGAAAATATTTTCAGAAAAATATTTATGCTCAAACGAACGCTTCGAATGTTGCTGACTCATCCCATGACATTTTACCCTTTCAAGGCTAGTAACCTTTGTGAAAGTGAGTCACTGAAAGTCGTTCTTTTTTTTTATCTTTTTATTATTATTATTTTACTCATAACAAGTTATCCAAAACAAGGAAAGATTCTAGTAAAAATGCAACCTTTCACACCCTGCTTTTTATCATGATCATTATCATGCAAGCTTGATTTCAACTGTTTAGAATCAACTCTATGAATATTGTCCTGCCATTCGTTTTATGTCAAGATTTAATAAAGTTTTATGCAGATTGCCTATCAAATACATCCTGTTTCTTTATTCATGCTTGAAACTGACATGACTGCTTTAGAGCCGGTGAAGGCAGATTAACTGAGATCCATAAATCAACGTTATTCTAATTGAAAACTTGATTGGAGGGTGATGAGGCATAAGACCATCATTATGATTTTGTGGACTATAGACGTTGCCTTTTATTCACACGCTAGACCAAGTTTCTATAAGTGTTCATTATTTTCTATTTTGGATTTAAAATTTCAAACCATAAAAGTTGCCTTGATGTTTAGCCTAGGCTAGTTTTTTATAACCATTTTCTATTTTTCTGATTTAAATTCAAAATTCTCCATCAAATCATGTGTTGAATAGTGGGAAATGGATTAAATATAAAATAGTTCGCATATAAGATGTATATTGAAAAAGAGTAATATTATTACGAGATCATCCCACACCCATGTGATACTAAATAGTATTTTTTATACTAATATATTAAATGGTTCGCATATAAGATGTATATTAAAAAGAGTAATGATATTATGAGACCCTCCCACACCCATGTGAGTAGGACTCTAAAGGATAATCATTAAATTTTGACACAGGTATCTAAAAAAGTTATCAATAAACCCATTCACCCAAATCTCATTCCTATGTAATCACGTTTCTAGAGATCTGTCAAAATTTAATGGTGATCCTTTGGAGTCCTACTCATATGAGTGTGGGAGGGTCTGACAGTGTGAAATATATTTTATTGATTTGTGAAATCCACAACTTCTTCCCCAGTTTCTAGTTACTCGCACAAAATGGCTAATTTCGTTTTCTGCTTAATCTTCTTGTTATTATAATTGCAAAGTTTGACCTCAGTAATAATAGTACCGGTTTCAAAGTGGCATTGGAGCATTATAATATCAACTAAATACTAATATAAATACAAGAAAGAGAAGAAAAACACTCTTGGTAAGGGTCTCACTAATCAATAAAAAGAAATATATTTTATTGATTTGTGAAATGCACAACTTCTTACCCAGTTTCTAGTTACTCAATCAAAATGGCTAATTTCGTTTTCTACTTAATCTTCTTGTTATTATAATTCCAAAGTTTGACCTCGGTAACAATAGTACCAGTTTCAAAGTGGCATTGGAGCATTATAATATCAACTAAACACTAATATAAATACAAGAAAGAGGAGAAAAGCACTCTTGGTTTGTGACATTCTCGAAGAAACGCCAAGAACTCCAACTTAAGATTCATATAAAACCAAGACAAAAAAAAAGGCTCTTAGCTTGTAAAAATTAATAACAAATATTAAAACTTCCAAAGCTTCAAATAATCTGACATGAAATCGGTCTTGGGTCAGGACGGTAGAGGCTTGGTTTTCATTGCCTAACGTCTCAAGTTCTATTTGTATGTAACCTTGTCAAAAAGAAAACGAGAGTCCCAACTATGAGAAATCGAACATTCCAAAGAATGGTGTCTCAAATCAAACAAGAAACCCTATTCTTTTGCTTTGATGATCAAAGACTGATAATTGAAGCTTCTTAGCCACCAAACCAGAATCGAGGGAACTTGGAAGTCCCCCCTTCCGACATCCCATCACTCACCACCTTTGTGTGCAGCCGAGCCAACTGATCTATAATCATAAATCTCATTTTACATCCAAACACAATCATAGACACATCTCTCTCTCTCTCTCTCTCTCTCTAAGAAGATAAGATAGAAAGTAATTAGAATGTGCTTACCATAGTAACTCACCTTGGAAGTAATAGTGTTGATTAAGGCTCGGTGGTGCTGGCGGGCAAGGAGTCACATGATCCCCACCCTCGGAGCCACCTTCCAATCCAATGAGACCGTAGGTGCCGGCACCCCCGATGGTGGGACCCATGCATGATTCACAACTATGGCCATTACCGCTATTGTTGTGATTATTATTGTTATTGTTATTATTGCAAGATCCATGTGGTAGGGCATTTTTAGCACAATAAACCTTGGCACACATGTGAATCTCAGCCAATTCACGTCGAAGACGATGCAATTCTTCATTTAGACGCTTAAATTCAGCCCAGCATCCCTCGACAGGCTCAAGCTGACGCCACTCTGCCTCCCAACATATGGACTCAATGGCTCGAGTTTGCTTCTCTTCATTGTCTAGGGATTTTATGAGCTTGACAACATTGCTCACACCAAACACTTTGTGCACTGCCTTGAACTTGTCCCCGTGCTCCGCGGGGAAGAACGGAGCTAAAAGGCACTCTGGCGTGCACTTGCGTCTCTGGTGCTTGCACGCGGCGCACGCCTGGTGCCCTGAACTCCCCTTCAACATCTCTCTCTCCTGCTAAGGTTGTCTGCAATTCTTTTACCATAAAACACTATAATAGACTGTATCTATATATATAAATATCTACGGAGAAGTTTGAACAAAGAGAAACCAATCTTTGTGTATGAGGGAGAAGATGCATTAATAAAGGGTTTCATAGATGCAATGCTAAGGCCATGAAAAGAAGGTTAGGGATAAAGAAATGGAGGTTGATGTGGATACAGGTAGTTCATGAAGAAGAAGAAAGGAAGCAATAGAATAATAAAAGAAAAGGGACAGGGCTTTAGATTTTCATGGCCTTTAATGTGTTAGGTTGTCCAGCCGTAATAGGAAAATAGGCAACATTTGTTTGGTAAATAGAAAAAGACCCGGTTTCTATGCGGCCAAGCCCGCATATGTAGAAATGCGGGCCTATTAATACATTTATTTTTGAGATGGATTTTTGACTTAATTTTTAAGGACTTGTAATTGCTAAGATGGAGATCCTGAATATGAACACATTTGTAAATTTTAAAAACTAGAAATAATACTTCTAGTAAAAAAACATTTGGATCATTAGTTTCCATTGTTTTTAGATGGAACACCTACTTGCATCCATCTTTAAGATTGATGCTTCACACTTTTTGGACCGCATATGTAGTCATGCGGTCGAGCCCGCATGAAACAATTTTCCAATAGAAAATGGGTAAATTGCTATCCTTGTACTATATTTCTCTTATTATTCTTTTTAAGGGTGTGGTTTGCATAAGGTTTGCAACTTTAAACAATCCAATTAAGGCACACCTCTAAATTTTATCATATATGTAATTTTGATATAAAAAATTCTTAGGATGGCTTGAGAATCTATTTTTATTTCTAATTATAAAATTTTAAACTCTAAAAATGGTTCAAATCAAGTAGATCTATAAACACATGAAATCTTGAAAATAGATGGTCCAGGTAATGTATTGTAAGATACATTTGCGGACTCGAAATCTTTTTCTCTTTTTATATTCATACATTCCGATGTAAAGATGATTAATTAGAGGGTTTTCCAACATCCAAACAACCTTTTATGATCGATTTTTGAGATGCATCTTTAATTCTACATTTTAAGGTTGCAACCTTATATAAATTTTTTCCTCTTTTAAAGAGAGAATGTGGTTGTTTAGAATTTTATTTATCCCTTTTTTCTCTCAATTTCTTTGCCGGAAAGTAACGTATATCGCTAATTATTGACCCCGTGCAGGTATATTATATCTAATTTTTGCAATCTTTAGGCTCTTTAGTTAAGAATTGTCTAGATGGGTTCTTATGCAAGGGGTTTCAAAGTTGTTGGTACGTGTGAGTGGCCATGGGGCCACACATGTACCAAGTATTTTTTTTAATTTAATTAATATTTCTTAAAAGATACTATGTTTTAATTAGTGTTTATATTTAAAAAGTTTCTAGGAAAGAGAAATAATTTTTTCAATAGGTACTGAATAATTCCCCATCTTTCATGTATTAAGAGCTACTTCTCAAATATTCCAGAAAGGAAAGCGGAACATTAGAGAACGGCTTCCTTCTATCCCTCTATAAGTTAGAGTTTTCATAGTCACATAGAAAAAGATATATTCTTAATTGTTTTGGAAAAGCTCAATCTCTCCAATGACACTCCCTTTCAATACCTAAGATTATTGGCGAGTTAAACTACTATCCCTAAAAAGTTCAACGAAAGTGTGCTCCCTTAGGGCACGTTTGTTTTTCTGAAAGGTATATTCTGCAAAGTTGAACGTTTTGTTCTGGAAGGTTTAAATAAGTTATGGGTATTGTGTTTGATAACCTGCTGGAATGTTAAGAAAGTTCTGGGTAATGTGTTTGATAACTTATAAATATTAACCATATAAATATGGGTACGGTTTGTATAGAGCTGAGCTCTAAACAATCAAATTAGAGCCCACCTTCAAATAGTTTCGAGAAATGTAGTTTCAATACTGAAAGTCTTTGACTAACCTTATAATATACTTTCATATTTTAATTATAAAATTTAAAGCTTAAAAAATAGTGTAGATCGAGCAGTGAATAAGTTAAAAATTAACAGTCCAAAAATGCGTTACAAGATGACTATTTCTAAACCTTGAAATTCATTTTTTTTCAAGTCCATGCATCTTGATGTTGAGATGATCAATTTCAAGATATTTGGGTATCAAAACAACCTCTTCTAGTAAAATTTTGGAGGTAGGCTCTAATTTGATTGTTTAGGGCCTAGGCTCTATATAAACATTTCCCTATAATATATAGTATAATATAATAGGCAAAAATAGACAGTGATCTCGCCTACCTCCATCACCGTCCAAAGTTCTTCGTACGGTCACAATTGTCCAGTAGTGTTTTATTTTTCATTTTGTTTTACAAATCGAAATGACCTGAAATTTGGAAAGTGTATTCATCAAAAATAAGGGAATCTTTGAAAATTATAAAAAAAATATTTTACATGAAAAATATTGACCAAAATACCTCCGAAATGTTTCAGGGTATTTTGGTCAATTTATTTTTAGCGGATAATTTTTCTTATATATTTTTATTAGATGCGCCTCAGTAATATGAACATGCTTTCCAAATTTCACGTTAATCCGATTTGTAAAAAGAAATAAAAAATAAAAAACTATCGAAAAATTGTGACCGCGCGATGAAATTTAGACGGTGATGAGAGTAAGCAAAATCACTATTCATTTTTTCCTATAAGCGTTGGAAAGACTTTTCCTTATTTATTATATGATATTATATATATAATATAATATTTATTTAATATAATAAATATATATATAATATAATATTTATTTAATATAATAAATATATTATTTACAATATAATAATATATATTATTATATTATATGTAATATAATATATTATTTATTATATATAATATATTTATTATATTATATAATTGTTGGTGGTATAAGACCACGTGGTTAGGTACACAACTTTTAAAATTTTTCCATTGTATTAAAACTCAAGGGTTTAAATACATGAATATCTCAATACAAAACCATAACATATAAAATCCAGCCAACAAGCTTGGTTTATAAACATTTGAATAATAAAAATTCAACCCTAATAGGTCCCTTACAAATCCCTTACTCGAAAATATAATTAAACTCAATACCAAATACTCACAATATACATCTAGACGACATATTACATTATTTGCACTTAAAATTCCTCAGATTCCTCATTATATCAAAATTACATGATAACTACATCTTCATTCTTCACCTTCATCATATATCACAATGTTTCATACATATCATATACTTGATTGTAATAATCTAATGAGATTTCAATTCACATAAACAATAAAGCATAGCATTAAAGCTCCTACCACAAGATTAAAAGCACAATTCTATTTTTCACTTAACAAAATTTTTTCAACCATGAATTATTTAATAATTATAAATACAATAAAAAAACATGCATACAAATATATGGGAAGCCAAGTTCGAACCCGTTGTGTCCAAGCCACAAATTTGAGCCTTTTAGGGACTTAATTTTGTCCCAATAAATAGTGCAATAGTGGTTTATAATTGCAAGGTTTTTTAATCCAATTAGGAAGGTCTTACAATTTTAAACCACTTTTTAAAGTCCACAAAATTGATTTAAAACAGTTTGCAAGAAGAATAGAGAAAATCAGATCAACAGTTTGCATGAAGATAGAGTAAAACTACTTGTGGTGGTCCACAGTCCACCACAACAATTTTCATTGCAAAAGTTTTAAATACACTTCTAAGATGATCTAAATATCTCTGGAATTTGAATAACACGACTTAGAAATGCTCAAGAGAATTCGTACAAGGTAGATAAAAGGAAACTATGCATAATCAAAGGTTTATTAATGCATAAAATGCATTAGCAAGTGAGGGATTACACTATGTAAGAATGACATGAAGATAATATCAAAATGGATGTTTAAGAAAGTTAAAATATGACTATAAATAAAATTTCTAGGAACCTTTGATCAAGGATAAATAATGTTTGATATAAGACAACTTAGAGAGATAAAATCTTGATCATGGTATGAGATAAGCTTGATCTTATGGAATGAATGACCACCATCAAGCTTCAAAGATCATCAATGGAGGATGAGAACACTCAAAGGGCAATGGGTGCTACATGGATGTCTGAAGGTTTTCTCTCTTTCTTTTTCTCCATTCAACCAAGATCCATTTTTCTAAGTGGGTAGGGTTGAGACTTAAAGAAGTATATATACATACTGTAAGATTGGATATCATCTACAACCTTAATGCACATATCCAAACGCACATGAGAGGCCAATATGCCCTAGCCACCATCCCATCCAACCATTAGAATGAAGGGATGAGATTTAGCACCCTTCTCCCCAACATTAAACCTTAAGTTTACCCTTTTTCCTTAGGTCCATATTTTTATTCCAAGTGAATCCAAATTTGCGTTACACAAAAGCCCTTAGTTTTAGATAATCAAATAGTGTAGAGATCTATCAAGGGCAATGAACAATAAAGTAAATGGTAAAACTCACACATATGAAAAAGTGCATCTTTATGAAAGTCAATCACTTTATAGATCTAATATTTCAAACTAACTACAATGAGCTTAATGTCCCATTTGTGAAGATATTTTTGAAATTCAAATTTAAAATTCAATTTTACTTTGTATTCAATATTAAATTAAATTAAAATGGATATCACACATGCCAACAAAGACACTTATGTGAATCAAACAAACATGTGACAAAAATATATATTAAGTTATCACATAATATAACAAGTCAAATAACAATATATAACAACATAACAAAATAATATATGCCATCCACACCCCTCACCTTGGGATTAGCACCCAACTGGGCATTAATCTCATGGTGGGAGCAGGGGTGCCACGTGGCCATCCCATCCAACCAACCACTAGGATGAAGTGATGGGATTTAGCACCCTTCTCACCCATATTAAACCCTAAGTAAGGCCACTTTACCCTTTTTCTTTAGGTCCATATTTTCATTCCAAGTGAAT